CTTCAGAGCATTGTGGTCTGAAAATATGCAGGCAATGATCCCAATCTTTTGATACCGGTTGAGACCTGATATAGGACCGAGTATGTGATCTATTCTGGAGAATGTTCCATGTGCACTAGAGAAGAATGTGTATTCTGTTGCTTTGGGATGAAATGTTCTGAATATATCTGTGATATCCATCTGGTCCAGTGTGTCATTTAAGGCCTTTATTTCCTTGTTGACTTTTGCTTGGATGATCGGTCCATTTCAGTGAGGGGAGTGTTAAAGCTCCCTACTATTATTGTATTATTGTCCATGTGTTTCTTTGATTTTTTTATTAATTGGTTTATGTAGTTGGCTGCTCCCACGTTAGGAGCATAGATATTTAAAATTGTTAGATCTTTTTGTTGGACAGAGCCTTTGAGTATGATATAGTGTCCTTCCTCATCTCTTATAGTCTTTGGCTTAAGTTTTAATTTATCTGATATAAGGATTGCCACCCCAGCTCTCTTTTGATGTCCATTAGCATGGTAAATTATTTCCCGCCCCCTCACTTTAAATCTGGAGGTGTCTTTGGGTCTAAAATGAGTTTCTTGTAGACAGCATATAGATGGGTTTTGTCTTTTTATCCATTCTGATACCCTGTGTCTTTTGATTGGTGCATTTAGCCATTTATATTCAGGGTAACTATTGAGAGATACGAATTTAGTGTCATTGTATTGCCTGAAAGGTGACTTTTACTGTATATTGTCTCTGTTCCTTTCTGGTCTACTACTGTTAGGCTCTCTCTTTGTTTAGAGGATCCCTTTCAATATTTTCTGTAGAGCTGGTTTGGTGTTTACAAACTCTTTTAGTTTTTGTTTGTCCTATAAGGTTTTTATCTCTCCCTCTATTTTCAATGATAACCTAGCTCGATATATAGTATTCTTGGCTGCATGTTTTTCTCATTTAGTGCTCTGAATATATCATGCCAGCTCTTTCTGGCCTGCGAGGTCTCTGTGGATAAGTCTGCTGCCAGTCTAATATTGTATGATACAGACTTCTTGTGCCGGGCTGATTTCAGAATTTTCTCTTTGTCACTAAGACTTGTAAGTTTTACTCTTAGATGATGAGGTGTGTACCTATTCTTACTGATTTTGAGGGGGGTTCTCTGTGCCTCCTGGATTTTGATGCTTATTCCCTTTGCCATATTAGAAAATTCTCTACAGTAATTTGCTCCAATATACCTTCTGCCTCCCTCTGTCTTTCTTCTTATTCTGAAATCCCAATTATTCTGATATTGTTTCGTCTTATGGTATCATTTATCTCTCCAATTTTCCCCTTGTGGTCCAGTAGTTGTTTGTCTCTCTTTCGCTCAGCTTCTTTGTTCTCTGTCATTTGGTCTTCTGTATCACTAATTCTCTCTTTGGCCTCATTTATCATAGCAGTAAGAGCCTCCATTTTTTATTGCACCTCATTAATAGCTTTTTTGATTTCAGCTTGGTTAGATTTTAGTTCTTTTATTTCTCCAGACAGGGTTTCTGTAATATCTTCCATGCCTTTTTCGAGCCAGCTAGCACCTTGGAATCATCATTCTGAACTCTCGTTCTGACATAGTATCAATGTCCATATTGATTAGGTCCCTAGCCTTCAGTACTGCCTCTTGTTCTTTTTTTTTGTGGTGAGTTTTTCTGCCTTGTCATTTTATCCAAATAAGAATAAAATAAAATAAAATACTAAAAGGGTGGCAAGGACTGCAGAAAAATGTGCGTTAACCAAATCAGAAGAGACCCCAAATCATGGGGAGAAGAAAGGGCATAAAAAGAAGTTACAAAAAAAATTGGAAAAAAAAAAGAGAGAGAAAATACATATATTAGACTAGTAAATAGGACAGAGCCACCCACTTGATTTTGGGAGTATTTTGGTCTCTTAGTAGAAACTGCCTTCCATAATTTTAAAGAAAGAAAAAAAATGCATATGTACACACACACACACACAAATATAAGGGTTAACATGATGAAGGGATGGAATATGACTGTAAAGATGAAAATTAAAAAAGGAGTTGATAAGATAAGGTGGTTGGGAAAAGAAAGAAAAAGAAAATGGAGAGAATTTGCTCAGTCTGGAGACTGGAGCAAACCCTGTGTTAGATTTAGGGTATATTTTGATCTATTAGAAGAAGTCGTATCGCAAAATTTTTTAGAAGAAAAAACCCTATGTATATACAAAAGATAAAGTTAGATACAATGAAGGATAAAATATGACTATAATCATAAAGGTTCAAAAAGATTTTTTAAAGAAAGGTATTGTTAAGATAAACTAGTTAAAAAATGTTAAAAAAAAGAATGAGTAAAAGTTAAAAGATTAGAATAAGAAAAAAAAATTGAAGAATTTAATTAACTTTGCAAGACTAAAGAATCATGCGGAGAAAGCCATGAATTCCATGCTTTGCTTTCCCTTCTGGAATTCGGCTGTTGTCCTTGATTAGTGAGCTTGTTCTTGGCTGGATTTCTTGCTGATCTTTTGGGGGAGGGGCCTGTTGTATTGATTCTCAAGTGTCTTTGCCCGAGGTGGAATTGGACCACCCTTGCCAGGGGCCGGCCTAAGTAATCTGCTGGTATTAGCTCTTGGGAACTTTTGTTCCCTGAATGCTTTCTGTAGAGTTCTGGAGGACTGGAATGAAAATGGCCGCCTATCAATCTCTGGCCTGGAAGAGCTGAGTACTCCGGGCCCCACTCCTCAGTGTGCCCTCGGCCAAAGCATTTAATCACTCTCGTCTCCCTGGTCTCCCGCCGAGCTCTGAGCTTATCCGGCCTATGACTGAGCGTTTCTGTCTCTGGCACACAGCCCCGTTTGGAGTCTCCAAACCCAGCAGATCCCTGCCACTCTTCCAGGAGTGTCTCCCCGGATCTGCCACTTGTGGGGTCCCTGCTCAAAGATCAGTGGTCTGACTGTGCCACGGATCACAGTTTAAGGTAACCCCAACCTGACCGCTCACTCCTCAGCTCCGTCTCTGTATCCAGCTCCCCCACTCTGATACCTCCAAGCTCTGCGATACTCAGACACCCCACCCCCATCCTTCTGTGACTCCACAGGACCTGAGACCACACTGTCCCCGCAAGAGCTCCACCCCTGCTTAGCCTCTGGAGCAATGTCCCTCAGTGGAACAGACCTCTAAGCCCCGCTGCTTGTGAGGAGCTGGCCCCTCCCCCTGCAGTCTATCTTCCCATCACTTCTGATTCACTTCTCGCATGTCCTACCTTTCAAAGAGGTCGATTTTCTGTTTCTAGAATTGCTGCTCTTCTTCACTTCGATCTCCTGTTGGATTTGTAGGTGTTCGGAATTGTTCGATAACTATCTAGCTTAACTCCTGCTACCTGATGTCATCCCAGCCTACTGCCATCTTGACTCTGCCTCCCCAGCTATCACTTATTGTTGAGTGTTAGACTTATAATGGGGATATGGCTGGGTTTTGTTATACTTGCTTGGCCTGTCCTTTTTTTTTTTTTTTTAAATTTTATTTATTTATCTGACAGAGAGAGAGACAGTGAGAGAGGAAACACAAGCAGGGAAGTGGGAGAGAGAGAGAAACAGGCTTCCCGCCGAGCAGGGAACCTGATGCTGGGCTCCATCCCAGGACCCTGGGATCATGACCTGAGCTGAAGGCAGACACTTAACAACTGAGCCACACAGGGGCCCCATATTCTTGGCCTGTCTAGAGCAACATAAGTCTCATATCTTTGGTTGGCCTTCGACAGGAATTTCCTGCCCCACTTGAGTGGAAACAGACCTCTGCTTGTTTAAGGAGACAGCCCATGGCCCAAGAAGATTTTATACCCCTCCCCAATCAGTAGAGATTTTTCTTCTATTCTTCCTTGTGTAAAATTGATCTTTACATATATCATAGGGGCTGGAAGGGTTTCCTAATCCTTTTGCAGGGCCAGATTGCTTTTGCTTCTATTCCTCTCCATCAAGCAGTATACCTTTGCCTGTTCTCTGTGGGCTCCCTCCTTAAGCAACTTACAGCTTTCGTCCTGTAAGAGAAAAAGGTGTATGAAATGGGCACAGCCCAGTGCCCACCCTGTAACACCCATAGCTCACTTCATTCTCACCTGTACTGCTAAAGAGTATCTTCTTCCCAAGCGTTCTTACAGCATCCATTGGAGGCTGAAGGGAAGAGCTTACCCTTAAGTGCAATTTGCCCTTGTGTCTTGGCTACCCAGCTTTCCACAGTGATACATGGATCCACGCTAGGCCTCTACCATTTTGTTAAAATGTTGGCTGACGTGTTCACGTCCACAACTTCTACCTGTACTTTGGTTTGTTGGCACAGATGATTTGTTATCTTGTCTCTCCTTGGGGGACTTTTTTCTTCTTCCCAAATACAAGACTTCAGATTATTTTGCTGCCTGGTGACCCTTAGGTCTCTGATGGAATCAAAAAGAGTTATCCTTTTATAGATTATCCAAACTTTTTCTTGTCCGTGTGAGAGTGACTTTGTTGTAGCCGTCTGTATCCTAAACGGAAGTGGAGTCTCTAAGGTTGCATGTGTTTTTATGGCTCCTCAGGTGATTCTAATGAACAGAAGGATTGAGGAACATGACTAAGAAAAAGGATTTTTTTAGGAAGTAAATTTGTATTATAGAACTTCTGTTGGTATGAGTGTCATTAGAATTCTAAAACCAAATCCTACTAGAGTCTTCCATGATATTCAAAATGGAACATTGAAAGACTTAGAATAGAGGGTAAAAGATCGTATTGCTTCCCTTAACCAGTTCTGGAATATTTCTGATCTTGACTGCAAATTCTACCTTTCACTGTTCATAATCATAGCCTAATTATTTTCAGAAGGAAAGCTATTTACCTGATGGTTTTTACGGACAGAATTGGAGGTGGTAGTGTGATTTTCCAGGTATCACTCATTGACTGAAATTCTGCTTCACTTTCAGTGTCCAGTCAAGATCCTGTTACTCTGCACAATGGAAGCATTTTAGTAATCAAAAAGCGAATCTATAATCATGCATGCATTTTCTTGTCAACAGAATCGCATCGCAAAACGCAGCAGGAAGCTGGTGGACTATGACAGTGCCCGCCACCACCTGGAAGCTTTGCAGAGCTCCAAGAGGAAGGATGAAAGTCGGATCTCAAAGGTAAAAATTGATCCAACTGTTGACACCACTCTCCATATTATATGATGTATAACGACTTTGCTTTTTAAAATTAAGCAAAACTCAGAGATATTTTGGGTTTAGTTCCCAACCATGACAATAAAACAAATATTGTAATAAAGCCATCAAATGAATTTTTTAGTTACCCAGTATATCCGAAAGTTATGTTGACGCTATACCATAGTCTATCAAGTGTGTAATAGCATTGGCTTTAAAAATACAATATTTTCCTTAGAAACACTTTATTGCTAAAAATTTTATTACGTGAGCTTTCAGCAAGTCATAATCACTGATCATAGATTAGAACAAATACAATGAAAATGCTTAAATATTGCAAAAATTATGTGAATGTGAGACAGAGACATCAGGTAAGCAAATGCTGCTAGAAAAATGTTACCTATAGGTTTGCTTGGTGCAGGGTTGCCACAAACCCTCAGTCTGTAAAAATATTCAGTGTCAGTAAAGCACAGTGAAGCAAAGCATAGCAAAACAAGGTATACCTGTTATTTTCTTTTTATAGGAGAATGGAATTAGGACAGAATTTAAGCTGATACATGGTACTTTGGGCTGCTTTCCCTAATTTTTATAAGGTTTTTCATGTGACTTTAGAGTTCACATGGCTGACACTGACTCACACATTTTGGTCAGAGTAAACCTTGTCCCCAGCAATACTGCAGGCTCAGTGAAAGTTAATGTGTTCCTCCACTTCTTTCTGTGTTTAAGGTCCATATTTAAAGTTAAAAGGCAGATTCAGGGGGTGCCTCGGTGGCTCCGTGGGTTAGGCCTCTGCCTTCAGCTCAGGTCATGATCTCAGGGTCCTGGGATTGAGTCCCGCATTGGGCTCTCTGCTTGGCGGGGAGCCTGCTTCCTCCTCTCTCTCTCTCTGCCTGCCCCTCTGCCTACTTGTGATTTTTCTCTGTCAAATAAATAAATAAATAAAATCTTTAAAAAAAAAAAAAAGGCAGATTCAGATAGAAAACCAAGTTTGAAATTCTAAGACATAACCTATGGTTGCCAGAGAGTGCAGTTTTGTGCTGGGCTTATAGAACATTCGTTTTCTTTTAGAAAACCCATTTCAGTAGCTTTTACTATGTAAGCCAGTCACTTACAGATGCCAACTGACACCTGCTAACTATTCCCTTTGCTTCCAGTCTTGCCTCCTCCTATCTGCCTACACACAGCTGTCTGAATAGTATTTCTACATCACATATCTAGATATGTTTCTCCACTGCTTGTCTTTTAATGGCTCAGGTAGCCTGTAGAAAACAAATCTAAATTTCTTAGTGTGCATATGAGACCTGCGCAACTTGGTTATGACTCACCTGTTCATCCTAATCAGCTTTTGAATCTTCTTTCCCCTCTGCTCCTCCTTTCATACCCACACCCTGAACTAACGCTCTCCTGACCCACACATCAGTTCCTGAGCAGCCACGATGAGAGCTGCCCTTTGACACCTTAGGTGCCAGGCACCCTCTCATCTGTGCCATTGCTTCTTAATACTCATGCTTAATACTTACCATCTCCATTTTATCAGTGAGGCATCAGAGATGAACGTTAAAACCATTTCACAAATTGACACCATTAGTAAGCTGGGATTCTAACCCAGGGAACGCCACCTTTATGCATTGTAGCACCTCTCCACCAGCTTCTTCACGGAACATTTGCTGATTTTTCAGATTCCTTTAGAATATCACTTTCCCTATGGAACCTTCTGTTTCTGTACCATCTTCCTCAGTAGCATGCTCTGCAGTAGTTTGTAAGTGCTAGTTTGTGATGTAATTACTTAGATTTCTCACTAGATGGGGAAGTCCTTTGGGAAGTATCCATGTCCAGTATCCAGAACAGAGCAGTGTATGGGACAGGCAGTTATATTTTTGTGGCCAAGCTGCCAGGCTACAAAAGCAACCATTGTAATCAAGTCAGTTTTTGTGTCTTAATAAGACTTACTATTTTGGGGTGCCTGGGTGGCTCAGTGGGTTAAAGCCTCTGCCTTTGGCTCAGGTCATGATCCCAGGGTCCTGGGACCGAGCCCCGCATCGGGCTCTCTGCTCAGCAGGGAGCCTGCTTCCTCTCTCTCTCTCTGCCTGCCTCTCTGTCTACTTGTGATCTCTGTCTGTCAAATAAATAAGTAAATCAATCTTTTTTTTTTTAATGTCTTACTATTTCACTGTTATTGAAAAAAATTATGCAAATTTTATTTGTGTTTTGGTTTTTGAGAGGAATATGCGTGCGCTTGGGAGTGGGGGAGGGGTAGAGGGAGAGGGAGAGAAAGAATCTTAAGTAGGCTTCATACCCAGCCTGGAGCCTGATGGGGGGGCTCAGACTTACCCTGAAATCACGACCAAAGTCTAAATCAAGAGTCAGATGCCTGACCAACTGAGCCATCCAGACACCCCAAAATTATGTGGATTTTAACTAGACAAATTTCTGTCCTTCTCAATATGCTGTAAAGCTATTCCCTTTTTATTTTAAATGCTGTTCTTGTATATAGAAATGGCTTGTGTTTCAATGACATTTTTTTAGTGTAAACACTTGTTATGTGTCTTCTAGGCAGAAGAGGAATTTCAGAAAGCACAGAAAGTATTTGAAGAGTTTAACGTTGACTTACAAGAAGAGTTACCATCGTTATGGTCAAGGTAAAGTTGCTTCTGTACAGGGTGTCCACATCCCTTTTAAAAAATCAAGAACAGGGAAATCCTTTCTCTTGTCTTTATTGCTTGTGATGCTAAAGCACCATCTAAGAGAAGTGTTCTATTTCTGTTAATTTTAGGCAATAGCTACTTGCCACATATGGTGAGCTGTTGAACACTTGGACTATGGCTAGTATGGTGGAGGAACTGCAATTTAGATTTAATTTATTTTGTTTCGATTCATTTAAATTTAAATAACAACATGAGGCTAGCAGCTATTCTATTGACCGCAGAGTTTTAGACCTTGATCTATTTCTCAAATGGGGCCCCAGATCTCAATTCTAGGCATGTGGAGAAGTGTCCTTAACTTTGAAATTTACAAGGATACCTTTTAGCTCTTGGCAGAACTCCATTTATTCCGAGAGGTCATCTGGTCTTCCAACTTTGATGTCAAACCTCTGCTTTCAGTTCTGACCTTTTAACCTGAACTTCATTCCTGTTTGAAGGGCTAAATATTCTTCTTATTATGGGTACTCTGCATTTCCTGTGGCATTAAGTGCATTGTCCCTCCTTTGTCTACTTTTTCCCACTCAGTGGTAGAACCAGGAAGTTGTTGGATGAAGTGGGTCCTTATGTCTCTCAATTTACATCAGTGCCTCATACTCCCCTGCCAAATAAACAGAATTGTGTTCTCTGTGCAACCCTGCTTTAAGGCAAACCATCTAGCCCAGCTTCCAACCAGATTGGCATCCCTTAAAACCTTCCTCCATAGACAATCTGGAGTTCCTACTTATCCTCTAAAATTGTCAGCATTTTGAGGGTCTGGAGTGGAGTTTATCCAAAAATTGAGTTTGCCTCAATTTTTTGCCTGGAGTAAGCACTCCATGTTTATTTTTGAACTACTGAAATAATCTGGAGGAAATTCTGGTTAGTTCCTGATAAACTCCGCCTGTAGGGCATGACCACTTCAATGTTCAGCCATAACCCGAATTTTAACATGTGTGAAATTAGCTCATCGCTCATCAGAATTTACTCATTCTTTCAACATCTGTATTTCTCTTTGTGGTACTATCATTCCTGGGCTCCCAGACTACAAACTGTGGAGTCAGAAACTATAGAAAACCAGAGGACCATCAAAGGAATCAATCCATCCTTTTTCTCTGTGGTCTTCTGGATTGGTCTCTCTCTCCCTATTCTCACTGCCACTGCCCTTACTCTCACTGTGGGTAATGATGGTGGTCTTGTCCTCACATTTGTGTCTTTGACCTCATCCTGTCCACCTTGTCATTCAGAAGCTCTACCTTGACAAATCTTTGTGGTCTGCTGAGCAGCCTACTGTGTGTGCCCAAGGAAGAGGATTTTGAGCAGCCTGAACATAGAAAACTTCTAGGGATACAGATGAAGCAAATACCTATTCATAATTTTGATTGAAGTATTCATGCCTTTTTAAAATCACAAATTATATGAAATTATATATTTTTAAGAAATCTATTTTACGGGTGCTTGGGTGGCTCAGTCTCTAAGCATCTGCCTTCTGCCTTCAGCTCAGGTCATGGTCCCAGGGTCCTGGGATCAAGGCCCACATCAGTTTCCCTGCTCGGCGGGAAGCCTGCTTCTCCTCTTCCCACGCCCCCTGCTTGTGTTCCCTCTCTCTGTCAAATAAATAAATAAAGTCTTTTAAGGAAAGAAATGTATTTTATACTCATATTTCAAGCAATACTTGTATCTAAGATCTTTATATCTGTCTTTGGCATCCATGTCTTCGTCCTCATTAAGGACACTCATCAAGTCAGCTGGTAGTTCCCCAGAGCTTATTATCTTCCTCTACAGATATCCCGTCCCAAACACAAGTGTCATTTGCATACAATTTAGACAGTTACTCTGTTCTTTCCCCCTCTAAAGGAATTTTTGTGGTCTCAAATGTAATTACTTACTCAATTGCTTTTTAAACTGATTTTGCAAGAGCTAAGGTACCACAATATTCAACACTTCCAATTATGAGATAATACTTCTGGGGAAATGGCCAAAATTGCCAGAACACAGTTATTATTTGCTTTAATATGTATTGGGTGTGTAACTAATTTCTTTTCCTAATGTTCTCTGTAAGAATTCAAAACGAGCGATGACTGATGTCATTGAGGCTTATGTGTCTTCCCCAGATAGTATTTGGTCATTCAGTGTAAGAATCTGTCAGAGTATCTTGTAATATGAAAGACTTGATAAGAACTTAAACACAATGGGAATATTTGAAGGATAAATTTGGAGGGAAACATTTCCCCTCATCTGGCCAAATGCAATCTCAATGCTTCGGTGCTTTTATAATCCACTGACTTATTCCCACACTCAAGGCTCACTCTTTTGTATGTCAATCAGGTCCTGCCTTTAGATGAAAACGTAGTTTAGGCCTTTTCAAAATTTTTTTTGGTTTTATTTAAATTCAGTTAATTAACATATAGTATATTATTAGTTTCAGAGGTAGAGTTCAGTGATTTCATCAGTTACATATAACACCCAGTACTCATCACATCTCATGCCCGCTTTCATGCTGATCACCCAGTAATCCCATCCCCCCACTCTTTCCCCTCCAGCAACCCGCAGTTTTCTAGAGTTGAGAGTCTCTTATGGTTTGTTTCCCTCTCAGATTTTGTCTTATTTTATTTTTCCCTCCCTTACCCTTTGATCCTGTTTTGCTTCCTAAATTCTGCATATGAGTGAAATCTGTCTTTCTCTGACTTATTTCATTTAGCATAATACTCTCTAGCTCTATCCACATCATTGCAAATGGTAAAATTTCAGGGTTTTTTGATGGCTGAGAAATATTCCATCGTGTGTGTGTGTGTGTGTGTGTGTGTGTGTGTATTACATCTTTATCCATTCATCTGTTGATGGACCTCTGGGTTCTTTCCATTGTTTGGCTATCGTGGACATTGCTGCTAGAAACATTGGGGTATGGGTGTCCCTTAGGGTCACTATATTTGCATCTTTTGGATAAATACCATCTTTTGCTGGGTTGTAGGGTGGCTCTATTTTTATCTTTTTGAGGACCCTCCACATCCTCACCAACACTTTTGTTTCCTGATTTGTTAATCTTTTTTAGGCCTTTATATATATATTGTATTTTTTGACTGTATTGTGTGTATTGTGTGTGTGTATGTGAGAGAAAAAGAGCTCATTTATTATTGAATACTGTCTATTTTCAGGTATCATTTTATGTACTTTGCATGCATAATCTCTAATTATCACAATTACCTATACCCTCATGTTACAAATGAGGAGGCCACGGATGATACTGGTTAAACACTTTGCCTGATACTGTAAGGTTTATAAATCCTAAAGCTGGCCCTTAAATAGGCTTCTGTGCTGTGGTACCTCCTGTACTGAAATGAGTACTGACAGCAGTGGTATTTAAGGAATGTCCTGGAAGAGGGGCCTGCAGATGAGCCTGAGGGGAAATAATCACAGATGTAGAAGACCCAGAAGAGGAGTACCTTAGAAGCCAAGAATGGAGAGAATTTTACCAGTGAAGGAGTGCCAGGAGAATCACTTATAAAACAGAGGTTAGGGGCACCTGGGTGGCTCAGTGGGTTAAGCCTCTGCCTTCGGCTCAGGTCATGATCTCGGGGTCCTAGGATCGAGCCCCGCATCGGGCTCTCTGCTCAGCAGGGAGCCTGCTTCCTCCCTTTCTCTCTCTGCCTGCCTCTCTGCCTACTTGTGATCTCTGTCTGTCAAATAAATAAATAAAATCTTAAAAACAAAAAACAAAATAATGGAGGTCAAGCAGCAGAGAGGAAGAGTGTATTGCTTCCAGGGAAGCAAAGGGAAGTTTCCAGATAGGTTCCAGCTGAGGGCGGTGTCACAAGCCTGACTGCAGGCACTGGAGATACCATGGTTGGTGAAGCAGGATCTTGACGAAGGTGGACCTGAGGAATCATGGCAGCAGGTAGAGGGGAGTTAAGAGGGCAAGGGAAGCCTTTTAAAATAGCCGTTACTGTTTTGAGAGGTTGACAGTGGCAGCGGCACATATGGGATAATGTAGGACTGAGGGTTTCTGGAGCAAGTGGAGGATGAGGGATAAAGACCAGGTGTTGGTGGAACTGGGCCACCCAGTGGGCCCCCAGCATCGAGAGGCCTACACTTGATAAAGCCAGATGTTGAGCCCGAGGGGGCAGTAGCCTGGAAGAAAAGGGCCAGTGATCTCAGAGAGATTAAAAAAAAATTAGCAAGTGGAACAGAAGTGAATGAATCAAGGATCTTGTGGTCCAGGAAGTGAGAGTAGGGAGTGTTCTCATCTTGGTTTGAGTGATGGCAAGATCCAGGGCTCGCAAGGTCAGTGAGCCAGGGAGTTTCTTATTTGCGTGGAGAGTCATATTGTGGGGATCTGCTGTGCTTGTGTTAGGGCCCAGGGAAGGGGAGAGAGGGACGTCATGAGACACATGCTGTGGGGCACGGTGGAAAGGTTGGGGCCTGGGAGGTTGGGAGATGAGCCGTATAGAGGCTGAATACGTGTGGCTTAAATCTCAGAGGAGGTGTATCAGTGTGCTCAGAGGCTCAGGATCCGGGGCCAGATAGAAGAAAATTCTTCCTTCTTCTAGTCCACCCCCCTAGTTAGTGCAGGATGGTGGAGGATGTTTACTCCATTGCAGGGGGCTCAGGGGAAAAATAGTGACCCCACCCTGACCCACACAGGCTTCCCTTAGGACATCGCCAGGTCATTGTGTCCTGGCCTGCGAACCTTGGTGGTGATAGCTCAGCTCTTAATCCTTCCCACTGTTTCCAAGGACAAAGCACTGTCTTAATAAAGGATTGAAGTTGGTCTGACGGCTAACCAGATGGGGTCTGAGGATGCCTCAGAGAAGTCCTTCAGGGAAGTAGGAATATCTCAGAGCCCCGCGTTTATGAAGACCTTGTGAAGTGAAACCTCACTGTACTCACAGCCTGCTGCTGTTGGTGGATGTACGCCTCCTGCTGGTGACATCAGTTTTCTACAAGCTAAGGTAGCCACGTAC